CTTCTTTTTCATTTACTAATAACTATTTAGACATTTCTTATTCTTCACACCTACAACAGGGATCAATTGGTAGCACACCATTAAATCATATTTTTCAAGAAACTTCCTTAAGCTCTGTAACAGATTCCAGGAGCCTGTTCTGTCATGTCTGTTCACACGGGCTGCGACTCACAAAAAAACCTGTGAAAAACAAGACCAAAATAAGAGCATGAAATATTTATTTTTAGAACCTCAATGCTTTAAAAATGATCTAAAGCAAAAAGTATGACGTATCACATCTAGCACATAGGCAAAGATGTTTTATATGGACAATGTTTACATCAGTATAGCAACATATAATGATGTGGAAAGCAAGATAATGGGCAAGCAAAAAACACATAAAGCATAAAAAAAGACTTGATTAAAATCAAAGGTGCTTCATAAAATCAAAGATATCGCATTTGGTTATTCAGGTTTATGGTTATGCAATTCTTGTCACAGTAGTCAAACTCAGTTTTTGAAGAATCAGACGTAAACTCAAGGTCAAATCAAACAAGAAGTTTTATTATTAGAGGCTGATTTCACAAATTGCTTATGGCTTAAGTTTCTATTTCTGAATGAGTATGAATTCAAAATCATGTTTCCTGTTAAAGCATTAGGTGCATTTTATAATTAATGAGTATCACTGCTCTGTCTTTTTCCCTCGTCACCACAGGGCATGTGAAAAGGCAAAGAGGCAAAGTAACCTGCAGCTCTCATGTTATCAGTTTGTTAGCCTACCTTTTAAGCTACCCTACATTTTAATTTCTTTCGAAAATGAACATAAAGTGAATGAACAGATTTAGTTCTGTTTTGCATGTTTAACTCAGACTATCCTGGATTAGCTGCATAATCATAAAGGACAGATTACAAAGTAAAAGAAAGCACTTTTGAAAAAAATATGTTGACAAAGTTTACAATCTCTAGACACACTCATCTAAATGGTCATGTATAAACTGTTGTGAACACAGTGAGAGATGTATAAATATATGCATTTCCACAGGAAGAGCGAACAGGACTTTAATGCCAAGCTGTGGCCAGTCCAGGGAAAAAAAAAAGAAGTTAGTCTAATTTTGGAGATGGTGCCTAACCATTTCAGCAAGTCAAACATCATCATATCTAGACCAGAACACTGTGGGTTTTTAGGAATGTTTAAGTTTAAACTTGTATTTTTAAGTGGCTCCTCAACGTTACTTTGTTTTAAACCTTTAAAAGTTTAGCTGGATTTCAAATGCTCGATAGAGTTCCGATGTCAAATGTTTTAATAGATTATTTTATTTAGTTTTTTTTTTTTTTTTTTTTTTTTTTTTTTTGCTGTCTTTAAGTATGTCATGTGTTATGGCAGCAACAGTTAGACATTTACACTTCCAGTGCCTTGTACAGTGCCCTCTTTCACTGGCTCCCTTTGAAGAGTGTTACATAAACAGGCTTCTCTGGCACGGACCCAACTTGACCCAGCCCTGACCACCCCAGAGGCCAGGGTTCAAAAAAGGAAAATGCCTTTTTGAATGACTGAGAGTGACATTTTGGGGGGAAATATTTAAACACAAAACAAGGAAAGATGTAACTGTTAAATAATAATAATAAAAAAAACAGCAATAAAATAAAACAAAACTGGAAGAACTAGAAATTAAACCAAATTAAATGTGTAATATTTCAAGAGCAGAGCAGGAAGGAGTGAGCGCCATGTTAAGCTTTGCCACCTGGAGGCTCCCAACCGTGTAGTTAAGCAAACACCTGCGATCGAAATGTTGCTCTTCCTTCCATCTCGGCTTTCCCGCTTTGTTTTACATGATCTAGTATTTTTCATCCACTTCTGCATGGCTATGTAATGAAGCCCAGCCTGTAATTGGGCCAGTTGGGTTATTTTAGGTTAGAAGCACAAAGTAATTACCAACCCCTCTGTTCTACTGTACTGTCAAGACAGAGAAAAGAATGAGACTGAAAAGACAGGAGGGAATGCAAAGAAAAATGCACAAATTCTAAACAGAGGATTCGTGTCCTCTCTGTTGATCCAGTGACCTCAGATTAAATGGGAAGTTACTCAGCAGCTTAGAGATTTTGCAGAATTTAGCAACAACTTTCCTTCTTGACTTCTGCATCCTGTTGATGAATTCTGGAAACACAATGAGACAATGACATAGGCTCTTTTAGAATCTAATACATATATATGTATGAAAGGAAAACTGGAAGTGCAACTCTGAACATTTAAGTTGATTCAGCATATTGAAAGCATTACACAGTGAAAATCTGCGTTATGCAAATGGCCATATCGTGACTAAGCGAACACTCAGTTACTACAGTAAGGCACATGAATAGAGAACAAGAACAAGCTGTGTAAAATTATTTTTGTCAGTTTTAATTCATCTTGTTTTGTCATTCATTAAACAAAATAGCAGTGAGAAATGCAGGAGGTGCAATTGCTGTTTTTCATTTGCTTCTTCTTGTTCTGTCACTTTTCAAACACAGAAACATGGTCAACTGGAAACGCAATGAACAAAAGAGTAGAAAGAAATAAACAGAATCGCGTCTTGTTTCTGGTAATCCATGAGACAGTTTTTGTCTCATCTTCTGTGAAAAGCTCGTAACAAAACCCATATGTGAGTCACACGTTTTATTTCAGTTCACTTTGGTCAGGCTAACAGCAAAAGCTAATGCATGTTGTGCTCATTCCACTTGTAAGTGAGTTAACTAAAAATAAGTATCAAATTTCTTTCCAAGGCATCACATAACTAATAATGTAACACTTGTATTATGCAAGTTACAACTCATATATCCTCCAGCTGTTGTTTATGTGAGGCAAATTCTCTCTCGGTCATTAAACCCCTTTTCTACGCAAAGTCACACAGAAGACCAACTGCAGCTGATGTATAATTCAGCCTAAAACCCATGAAATTGGGGAGATCTTATTGAAAATAAAATAAAATTACTACAAACTGGAGCTGTTGAAACAGGTTGTAAATATTGTCTGGCAGTGGAAGTGTGCTACACTGAACATTTCTGCAGCAGAATGAACTATGAGTGATTACCCAGCCACTGAGGTAATGCTTGACCTTTCCAAGACTTCCAGTCGGTCTGAAAGGTGATGTCGTCACCTATTTTAGAGCAGCACACATCGAAGAAGCCTATATGTGCTATAAGATCCCGCAGTGCCGCCGCGGTTCACGCGTTACACAAATTACATCACTAGAACAGTTTTTAATAATAAAATAAAAAATGTTAAAAAGACAAGGAAGACAACAAGGGAGAGTGCATGTAATTTTAAGTTAACACATAATTAACTGTAGTACAATATATTCAGTTTATAACCAGGGACTTATATTGTTTACAGTTTACTTAAGTATTGTTTTCTTAGCACTTTAACATTTTTACTGCAGTTGGCATTAAATTCCAGCGCTTTATTGCACTGAACAGCACAGTTCTTTTTCTGTACATAAGTTTTAACTTTTGGTAAAATGCACCTCCTACCTGTTCTGCTGTCTCTGAGAGACAGTTGAGGACGATAACAATATAGCTGATATACTCTGATAATTTTGTTTGTTTGTTTTGGGATTTCTTAACAAATGTGGGGACACATAAGTAAGCAGAAAGAGTAAAGAGTTTTTTGGGGGAAATAATGCATCTTATCTGAGTATGGTCTCTTTTTGTGTTCACATTGTTCATACTTTTGAAAAAGTGTTTTATGGCATCTGATTTTGTTAAAATCTCATCTTCACTAAAACTAGAAAAGAATAACTGCTATTTAAATATTTGCATGTTTGTTTGGAGACCATAATATTTCTATTTATGTTAACTTCTATCTTTGTCCTTTAAGTTTTTGTGTAGTTTTTTATTTTCCTGTTAATTTTCAAAATATTGGTTAACATGCTATAACACCGAGCTGTCATTTATCGGAACCAAACGAAGGGATGACAATGTCTGCTGCCTCAAGTCGTCTATTTTTTTTTTCACCTCTTCCTTTTTCTTAGCCTGACTCACATCAAGTCCGAGGGACAGTCAGAGAAGCCCCATTAACACATCGAAACTCAGCCCCATTAACACATCGAAACTCAACGATGGTGGACCTCACCAGCGGAGTTTCGGTGGAAAAATTTTAGAGAAATTCACTCAGCACTTTTCTTGCGGTTCTCACAGAACCAAGTGTGCAGTCACGCTGCCAGATCCAGAAAAGGAAATAAGATGTGTGAACTAATGGAAAGAATGACAAAGTGTTAATGGTGTGACGAAAGAAAGAACAGAGGTCAAGCAGAGCGACAGGAAGGGTCAGCAGACAGGACTGATGATACATAAGCAGTAGAAAAGGCACAAACTGGATCCAGCTAGTTGCCAGAGTAGGTGTTGTTTTCGTATCAGTTCTTATTTTTGTAAAAAATAAATAGATTATCCTCTCTCTTGTACTTTTGTTGGTGGCATAAGCAGTAAATCACTACTCAGATATTTGCTGATGCCAACTTTTGCTGTGTAAAAATAGACGAGCGGGGCATCATATCACATCTGGTTGCACATCAGCCAGAATACCAAAAATAGCAGCCAACTGATGAAAAAAGTGAGGTAATGCAAACTAACTTTGCGGTGGCTTGCAAAATTATTCACAGTCCATCATTTTACACAAATGCAGTGTGTTTCATTGGGACTTAAAGGCATTGATCAATACAAATCTAGCATTTAACTGCAGAGTGGAGAAAAAAACAAAACAAACCTGGTCTTAACAGACTGAAACATAACCAAAAAAGGGCAAACTGGATGATCACGTATTCACACTCTTTTAATGAGATAAACCTAAATAAAATCTATCACAATGTTGCCCATTGTAACGCTACAAGATCTGAAGCACTCCATTGCTTTGGGGGAAAAATCTGGTGAAAGGTCAACAGTCTACAGATCTGTGAATCTGTACATGCATGACTCCAAATCATTAGCAAACTAAATTCAAGTTCTAAAATATGTTCAAAGCAGTATTCAAATTCTAAAAGTGACTCAAACTAGCGATCTGTGACTAAATGTTTGTGTGTAAAGAGATTATACTTGTATATTTAAAAACATTAAAAACTCAGAGACAGCTTTCACATGCATGCAAGACATCTCTTACAGCAAAAAAGAAAAAAACAAGTCTATAAGGAAGGCCTTCTTTCAGTTCCCTAAAATAAAAGGGTTCATTTAATGTGTGTGTGTGCATGTGTGTGTGTGTTTGCCTGCATACATAAGTCAGCCTATGAGAAGCTATTAGAATGGGTGTGGGTGAACAAAGATGACTGTGGTTTTGAAGGAATTTCAGACTGTGCCTGGCCGCAAATAAATGTGAATGTGGATATATATCTCCAAGAGGCAGAGACAGATAAAAGGCAAACAGACTGAGACAAAGACAGAGGAAGATGTGCTGTGATTCACGGTTCCTCCTCTTAAACAAAAGTCCTCGGCCGTTGTTGATGTTGCAAGCTCTCGGTTCCCGCCGTGTGAGGATTACAGAGGATGGAAGTGGCACTTGGCTCCAGAGTCCGCCAGACAGACCTGATTCTAAGCTGCTACCTCGTGACTGCAAGCAGAAGTCAAGCAAACAGACAAGTTGTTTTAGGGAACCCTGATCCTCTAAATTGCCAGTAATGAGGGGGTCAAAATGCTTTACTAGCAGGCTCAAGACACGTATGCCTTACAGGCTCCATAACGTCGAGGGCTTCAACTTACTCTGCTGCTCACTTACTGTCATTCACTCTGCTCCTTCCTCTGCTTAAAAATACGTTAATCATGTCAGGACACATGATCTGGCCTCCCTGACCTCACAGCTGCAAAACATATAAGCAAAGATCTACTGTAGCTGCTCTAAAGAAAGGGTTCTGAGCAACACACAACAGTAAAGAATTATATATATATATATATATATAAAATGCTAAAAATTTAGCATTTTTAGCATTATAAAAATGCTAAATTTTTGGAAATTTAGCATTTCCAAAAATGCTAAATTTTTGGAAATTTAGCATTTCCAAAAATGTTGAAATCCAACAGCGTTGACTTTAATACAACCAGCCTTCCTGTTATCTCTAAATGTGTTGCTCTCGCTCATCCTGAATAAATGGCAGACATGAAACTACACTTTCCTTCTGAAAACTAACTTTGTTTTTAAATGGTTCATTGGTACAGATAATTGCTAACTTTGCCATCTACTGATAGGAAATAGGTTCTAATTTGTATTTCCAAACCAACTGCTAATATTTCCTGATGGATCAAGCTGGAAATCATCCACACTGGTCCATCTCTGTTTTCATTTTAACTTAAAAGGGAAGATTTTTGATTTATCCATTTGCCTGTTCACTGCCCCCTGTCAGCTGTGTGGATATATTTTATGTCATACAGTTGTGCGTCTCTTACCTTTGTTTCCCTTCAAATATAGTTGTGATGAATAAAATAAAGTTTAGCAAGAAACTGAGTTTATTCTAACCCAAACTTGTGTGTGTGTATATATATATATATATATATATATATATATATATATATATATATATATATGTATATATGTATATATATATATATATATATATATATATATATATATATATATATGTATATATATATATATATATATATATATATATATATATATATATATATATATATATAATATATATATGGTTTGCTCAAAAATCTTCCCTTTTAAGTTAAAATGAAAACAGAGATGGACCAGTGTGGATGATTTCCAGCTTGATCCATCAGGAAATATTAGCAGTTGGTTGGAAATACAAAATTAGAACCTATTTCCTATCAGTAGATGGCAAAGTTAGCAATTATCTGTACCAATGAACCATTTAAAAACAAAGTTAGTTTTCAGAAGGAAAGTGTAGTTTCATGTCTGCCATTTATTCAGGATGAGCGAGAGCAACACATTTAGGAGATAACAGGAAGGCTGGTTGTATTAAAGTCAACGCTGTTGGATTTCAACATTTTTGGAAATGCTAAATTTCCAAACATTTAGCATTTCCTAAAACTTAGCAATTGCTATGTTTGTAATGCCAACCTTTCTAACTATGCTAATTATTAATATAAGATGCTTATGATCACTTAACATGTTTAATACTTCAAAAATCATTTTGGTTTTCTTTTGAAATATTAGTAAAACTGTACATTTACATATACATGCAGCATGACATTGCATTACTTTCTCATATATTCATCCTTCACAACAAAAATGCTGGAAAAAAATATTTTGATGTCTTTCCTTGGTGTAGATTCCCAGTCATCCAGAACATGTTCTTCATTAGTGCTTAAGCACAAAGGAACTGGGCTTCTTCTCTGGTTTATTGATTGTTTCAGCTGTTCAATATTTTTTTTATTCCTACTATTCATTGGAAGTTTCAGACTCATAATTTCAAACTTTTCATAAGGTCATAAGTGTCGTTTGTCAAATAAAGACGACTGAAACATCTGATCAAATTGAGAGAATTGCCACTTATCTGTATGACATAATTACTTACTAGTCTCTTAATTAGTGTTATTGATCTGACATCATCTTTTAAGATCTGAAGTCCCCAAACCATTATGTGAGGAATGAACTATATTCAAAAAACAAGTCCATCTGGTTTCTATTTAGGCATGTAGGATTCATACTTTGTAGTTAAGAAAAAAAAAATCAGCTCAAAGTTTTACAAAGAAAGAAAAGTGATTAAAAAATGTCCACCAGATCCTAATTAGTCCATCTCTAACAAAATAGTAAAAAAAAAAAAGCAACAAAGCTAAACTGAACCAAGCATTTGCTGAGTTTGCTCATGTCTCTTAGCATCTATACAGTGAGACAAACAGAGTCTCAAAGTCTCCTCTTTTAATCCTGGCATGTGTCGAGTGGAGCAGAAGTGGAGAGGGTCCTGAGCCAAGTTTCCCAGTAAAGAGCTTCTGAGTTTAAGGAGCATGACAAACAGAAGGGATGCAGACAGGAAAAGCATGCAGATGGAGAATGTTAAGTGTGTTTAGAAGAGACAGGGACCTATGTGGCAATAATAAAGCCAGGGGTCAATGCTCTAAAGATGAGAGGTCACAAAGGACATATGGGTTGAGGACAAAAAAAGTTCATCTTTGCATCTCAAAGATAGCTGAGAGTGAATTAGTCTAAATTTATTCCGAGAGATTAACTTTACATTACCGATGTGAGAAGGACAGCAAGTTTCAAAATATCAGATATGATGGAGCAGTTTGTAATTGTATAATAAATATGGAGTTGGTCTTCAAAGTCTGAAGATGAAAATAAAACTTTAAAATAAAGTGCTAAATCCTAACCTAGATGAATGTGTTGCTTTAAAATTCAGAGTGAAAATGAGCAGTCACGCCGGGAGCGTGTGTCGTGAGATCAACACATGTCCCAGGAGGCAGCATGTCTGTGTGTGGGTACACTTGGTCATCTCTGGACTGGCTGCCGTTTAGTCAAACAGAACTAGGCGTGAGGACGTCTGTCCGAAATCGAAGCATGACATCAGCCAGTTGGCAGGAGGAGGTGTGGGAGCAGGTGCTATTTGGAAACAAGGGAGGGATGGAGACACGCAGAGAAAGGTGGAACTGGGGAAGGACGGGGAGAGGATGGAGAGAGGATGGAGGGAGGATGGAGGCGTGGGACAGGAGAGCAGAGGGAGGTGCTGGAGAATGGGGCTAGAGCCAAGATCCGAGTCCAAGTGAAGCTATTTTTAGCTCTTTATCACGAACCATTCCAGCAGACCCTGATTGCCACCAATATTATCCTTCTATTTCCCCTTTGCTCATATTCAGCTCATATCCAGAAGGAGGCAGAGCCACATTTAACTGACTGATTTCATGTTCCTATTCTTGGACAGAAGTATTTTACACATCTATCATAATATTTCTGTCACATTTTATGCTTCACGACAGGATGTCGCATTTTTAATATGAATGATTCGGAGATATATTTCAGCATTTACCGTTCCAACTTAAGTACTTTTCTGAACCACAAATTTTAAGTTTCTTTTTTGGACTGGAAACATTCAACTCCAAAAATAAAACTCACATTATGTTGCTTTGTATGCCAAGAGCTGTGCTGCATAGACTCCTATACATCAAAACAAGAAATGAGCTAAAGAGATTGACCATATCAAATGAACCTACCTTGACAGCATAGGAGGAGTTCAGCAAGGCTCTATACTGGGAACAATACTATTTAGTCTCAAGTCTGGAGGCAAACTAGCAAACACATTAAAATCCATTGTGTTTCTATTCAAAAGGACATTAAGTATTATATTTAAATTTTTAAAGGCCATAAAAATATAATTGAAGTTTGTTTGGCTTCCAAATGGGGTCACTCCATGAATTTCACAGAAAACAACTTTCACAGAAAAAAACAACACAATAATTCTGCCAGATCCTGCACAGGCAGAATCTGATTTCTGCCAGTGCAGGATCTGATGTGAGGCAAAATTTTCCAGTACAAGTAATACTTGATGGTCTTTTAAAGCAAAAACATAATTGAAGGCTCCAACATCTCGACAGCTCCACGTCATAGATTCTTGCGCTGTAGTTAAAATTTGCTTTGCAAATAGACAAAGAATATCTAACCAACTGCTCCTGACTCAGAAGAGTCCAGGATGTATATCATCTCTTAGTGAAGATAGAGCCCCTCTACCACCCTGCTGAGGTTAAGAGCTGTCATAAAAACTTTTTTTAAAATCAATTTGAATAATAGACTGGAATTAACTGTACTGATAACTTCGATCAACTGAAATATATGTATGGTTGGACTGAATTTACATTTTTTGTAAAGTGCCCTTATAACGTGTAGAAAAGACTAAAAAACCAAATTGAAAACATAATAATTATACTATACTGTACCATGTCACAGCATTGTCCTATGGACCTATTACTATAAAGGGGGCCCAAGAATGGTGCAGGATGGCTGGGTTGTATTGGTAGCTTTTGTAATGAAAACAGAATCAAACCACACTAAACCATATTGTACTGCTCAGAAAAATTATTACACAAATATTACACAAACTGAATTGTCATAAAGTGTTTAACTGCAACATCTCATCTTGTCTTGTCACAAAAAGGTTAAAGAAAATCTTTTCATGCCATCAAAAACTTGAAAAGCAAAATTAGTGCGGCTGACCTTCCAATGAGAAGATCAAACTTTAGGGCATGCCGAAACACAATATCAATGTCAACCCTGTGGTCAGTAAGAACAAAACGTTGGCCTTCCAATACAGAGAAATAAATTCATAACTCCCTAAGCATTCTCATAAATCACACTGCGACTTTGGTAATAGATAAAGAAAATTACTGTAAACGGATCTGTAGCTAAACCGTATCCAGGCCCTTTGCAACAGCAGGCAGTGGAAGAAAGTCACTGTGATAAGGTGTAGTGTCTCTGGCCCACATGTTACAGTACAATAGTGTCTTTGTCTTCCACTTATCTAGCTGCTGCTTGGGCTGCGGAGCTGAGTGTTTCAACAGCTACTGTCTGTCAGACCGTAGGACACAATCTAGCTCTCTGTATAAAGGCTTGTTGTCAACCAGTCTGCGTAGACAAAGTAATCTTCTGAGCCAAGGCAGATAAGGAGGTTTTTACAGACCCACACAGATGCCTTCTCAGAAAACTGGAACCGACAGTCTCTACACATTTTTAACATGAGGATTGAATAAAGAAAAAAAAATCTGATATTTGATACAATTAAGATAAATTTAGGAAAATAACACAATATCCAAATCTGTTTAAAAAATAAAATAAAAGCACACAAGTTCCAAACAGGATAATAACTGGAGCTCTAAGGTGTGAGCTACAACTTAGGAAATGTCC